AGTATCTTCTTCTATTTGGTCTTTATCAAAATTTTCTTTACATATATTTCTTTCATTCTTCAGTTGATCTATTATTGCTTGTAAATCTGGAACTTTTATTTAATATTCTTTTAATTCAATTGTTTTTATAATTTCTACTTGATTATTCACTCTCAAGTTATTGTCCTTCAAGAACTTAGAAAACTCTATATCTAATTTATATGACTTTTTTTATTATTGACTTCTATACTTATATTATAATAACATGCTCCAATATGATCATTATCTTTATCATATTCTTTATTTTCATTATTTTTCTCTAATATGATAGTCTTTGCTGATTCTAATAATTAACTTAATTCTTGGGCTAAACTTGAATTAACAGTTAACAATTGTTCAGAAGTAATATTAGCTTTCTGATCTATTATATTAGTAACAATTGAATAAGGAGTTATAAAAGATCAATAGCAAATTTTCTTTAGCCTTATTTCTTTGACTTTTATATACACTCTTCAACTTTATTCATTTCTTATTCTTCTGGTTTATTCTTAGTTGAACCTCATCATCTTTTTTATTTTTATCATTCTGTTTTCTTAGGCTAGAACCATGCTTGCTTTTAATTTCTTTAACTTCTACTCTAATTCTAGGGTTGGAACTTTTTTCTTTTTCTGGCTGTTGTGTTGAGTTATTCCTAGAAGACTTTTGAAATGCAGGCTTTATAGCAGAACAAAACTAATTTTTATAGTAAGATAAATTTAGGGTTTGATTATTTAAAATATTAGAAAAAACTAAATTATCATTCATTGAAAATATTGAAGGACTTGTTTGAGAACCAAATCTTTGAGTATTCTAAATTAATTTAAAGATTGTCACTTGAGGTTGAGATTGTTTTCTTGAGTCATATGAAGAGTAATAAGATTTAAGTTGTACTTGAAAAGTATTTGGCAAAAAATAATATCTATAGGCTTTCTCATATGCTCATGCCTTTTATATACATCCTCTAAATTCTTAGAACTTAAAAGAGAAA